AGTTCAGATCTTGATCTTTCTTCTCTTTGATGTATCTTTCTTAATACTAGATGAACTATTGAAAAATTCCTCCTTTTTTATTTTTCCGAGTGACTAAATAAAGGTTTCAAAGAAAAGAATTCAAATTGTTATCGAGTTTTTATTGAAAATCGCAATTTTTTTTTTTTTTTACTTTTTTCCCTGACTGCATCTTGATATTTTGATAATCTATTGCTAAGTTACTTCATTTTCCAATGCTGTTTAAATCTAACGTGATTAAAAAACTAAATAAAAATTGATCCTTAAATATTTTGAAGACATAATTATTACTCTGAAACTATATTATTTATCATTAGATAAATTATAAAAAACTTACACGAAATAGACGATAAATATACAGTATAAATCCTCCACATTATACGTGAGATAAATACATCAATTTTTTTTTTAATTAACTCAAGATATTGTTGATAATTGGCTATAAGAATAGCTAAAAGTCTTACGCAGCCTACATTCAAAGAGCCTTTTCTCATACCCATCAGGCTATCTATAAACAATCGTAAATCTTATTTGTCAAATGATCTTTTTTTAAGATAATTTTAAGCCCTTAAAATATAAAAAGAGCTTTGTTTTATAAGCAATTTTAAAAATTTTCATTCAAAATGACTAATTTCTTAATGAACCGTCAATATTATCGCGTTTAAATGTATCGAGTTATATTTGTGCGATACATCAATACAAATTAACTTAGTATTGAGTAATTCAAGTCGAATTGTGTTACACAACGATAATAATTATTTAGCATGTTTCAGTTGCAATATGAATCACCAGACAGAAACGATAACGGCGAATTTCATAATGAACTAACGGGTCGATCAGAGATACATTTCTACTCTATAAACAAACTGATTGAAATAACACATTTATAGTAATGATATATCGAACAATACGTTAATTAAAACAATATTAATATAATTAAATTTGCACAATTAATTAATTTTTAACACGTGTCAACGTCCTTATACAATATACCAGTAAACCAAGCGAGCCGACTTACAGGTTTAAGTAATTATAATTGTTTAAAGACTTGTTATAAATTCAAAATTCATTTTACAGTTAAAATAAACGAGCAATTACTTATTGTAACATCGTCGCAATGCCAAGCTACAATTTTTAATGATATTTTAATTTAAAAACGCACGTAACTTCCGGTCTAGACTGGAAGTTCGTGTACAGTTAATCGGGGCCCCGGGTTTTATGCTTACTCTATCTAATCTCGATTTTCATCTATCTAACTCCATTCTTGAGATTAAGGAAGGACAGGCGGACAGACAGTCACAGTGGGAATCTATATGTCTGCAATTTGAAAATTCAGCCTAATAATTATATTTATTTTAAGATTTTCATAATATATTAGAATAAAAGCATTAATATGCGTACAAAATAAAATTAAGCTCTAATAATATAAGAAGTCCTCTGTAAAGGTTATAAGATATCAATCATAAAATATTTTAAAGCTGATTGGTCGGGGATTATGATTTAATTAACGATGATTAGTCGAAGAATTTGAAGTAAGTACAGTACATCTTGCTTATTTGAATTTTAATGGTTTTTTTTTAACGCGAGGTTTCGAATAAAAATGATTCATATTTATTAAAACATTAAAATTTTCGCTTCTAACATTGCTTAAAATGATTTTATATATCTACGGTTTATCAATAAAAAATAAAATAAACTTATATTTTTTTACGATCTTTCACTATCTTTACTAAAAAGAGAGAGAGAGAGAGAGAGAGTATACAAGAGGATGTTTGAGATTCCACAAAGTCTATACTTTTGAGTTGTGGTTTCAGTCTAAATTTAGACATTTCGATACCACGAAAAAAGTTTTATGGGTTTTAAACTGTCATTGCCAAAGCTCAATGTAATTGAAGTTTAACGAGAAATAAATCTCAATTCAGCAGCCATTTTTTTCCTACAGATTACCAGATATATACATTTAATAGCATAATATTCCCTGCAGATTCACCCAAAATAATATCTTATAAAAGTATAAAATTACATTACATTTAACAATTATAATGGGTCCTGTTTATGAAAAGACCATAATATGAGGAGACAGAACGAAAAGGAAATAGGAGAGACTCTACTTTTAGGAATTTAGGAATGAAGGGTATACTATTACAAATCTAAACACAAAACATTTTATTGATTTATTATCCTTCTTGACTTTTAGGTTTTTTTATCCATTTTTTCGATTTCCGATAAAGTTGAAGGAATTGTTATAAAAAAAAATATATAAAAAAAACGGAGAAGAAGGGGAAAGCGGAAAATCATGGAAAAAATTTCAGATCGTATTACAAATCCCGGGACAATATCTTATCTTGTATTTCAAGCCACAATACAAGAATATTTTTCCCTTTTTATTCATCAGATATTTCAATTTCTTTCCTCTTTTTTTTTTTTTTTATTTCTGTGCAGTAAATTTGGGGTGCAAACAATTCAAATGGAAATTTTCGTGTATCATCTCTCTTTCTCTTCCTTTCTCTTATTGTAACGTATTCTTTCTCATTTTGAATGAAATTGTCTTCAAAAAAATTTATTCCTTAAATTCACATACAGGTTTGCATCTTATTAAATTTATTAAGTCAATTTCTTTTTATATTATATATATTAAAATTCCTTCCGGATAACGCTAAACAAATTGATAAAATACATAAGATCCGTCTAACAAATGTATTATTCGAATTATTGTTATTGTTGTTATTAAACAATATATTTTTTAAATGAAATCTATAACAATAAAAAAAAACTTTCCGAAGCTCCTCCTCTTTAAGCAACAATCAACTTAAACCACGCCCAAATTGTAAAAACCGCTTTTCTCGACTCAGCCCAAATTCAGCCACCGTTTCTTTTAATTCCGCCCAAAACGCTAATTCGTAAACATCGGCTCCGCCCAAAAAGTTTCAATAACAACAAAAGTCTCCGCCCTTAAATCTAATTATGACCAATCGCGTAATATATCACGCCCTTAATTTTGTTTATTCAATAAATATAATTATTTTATTATTATTTTCTTTATTTTTAATTTTCTAAATTATATTAAAATTTAATATTTTTTTCCTTCTTTTTTTCTGGCAAAAACATCGCGAAAATTTATATGATACATAAAGAGAGATTTCGTTCGTAGATAATGCATTATCTGATTAATTAGACTATCTGAAAAGATTAAAGTAATAAAAAAAAAGTTACAATAATTTTGGACGTTATCAACATCAAAACACGAAAAAAAAAATACATAAAAAAAATAAAAATAAAATAATAATTCTTGGCAGATCCCCTATTTCCGGAGGCTATCAGAAAGATATAAATAGTTCTTCTTTCTGTCACCAGAGGGTATTTCGGATTGAGTTCCATCGGTCGAGAACAGAGTTAAAATTGATTTTTGTCCCTTTTTTTTATTTTGTTATTTTTTCCCCTCCCTTCATCCTGTCTTTCCGATGGACTTGTTAGTTTTCCAAACTTGCCAAGATGATCGATCCTGGGACAAGTTCAAATGGAGTCATTTGGCTCACGCGCGTTGTGGGATTTGCTGATATCACCGACGAATTTTTGTATAAACTTTAAACTCAGTTGTTTCTTATTGGGCATTTCTTTTCTTTCTTTATTTAATTTAAAGTGTAAAGGGCTTACATTTATAAATTTTAGTTTCGATTATGGCGCTTTTTATTTAAAAAAAAAAAATAATAATAATAGAAATTTTTATTGTGAAAAATTTAGAAAAATTTTATGACTAACGCGCGTCGCCATGATGATAATTTCGCGCGATAAACGAATGTAAATTTCTTTAATGAAATTAATTAATTTGCAAATAAATGTTGATAAAATTTTCGAAAATAATTTAATTAAAATTGAAACTTTTCGCTTATCAAATTTTTATATAAATTAAGTAATTTTTATCAAGTTATTTTATTAATTTCTAGTACAGGAATATTTATTGAAGATGAAGTTTAGCTTAATAAGAAAATGGATTGTTCGTGTATTCATCAAGAAATTCAGAAATGCACTTATTTTAGCAGAGACTAGACATGTTATATTACAGTTTCAATAGAGGAAAATAAGGTTTCAAGATGTATGTTTTCTAATAAGAGCTTGTAAATCTTACTAGAAAATATGTTCTAAGCTTAGCATCCGTATATTCTATTAGTAAATATATGCTTTATAGATTTTTAAATCTGGTGAAATTTGATTTTTTTTAAATCAAAAAATTTAATATAAAACTTCACTATTAAGCTACTTTTAACAAGTATTTGGAGAGTAAACAAGTATAAATTGGCTGACCAAATCTTGATAGTTAACTTATATGTTACTATAAAACTCCATTTAGAACAAAAAAGCAATTTTCTATTAAATCTTTTATCGAATTTTAAACTGATGTTGAACTTTAGGATCTCGTAATGAAATTAACTTGATCTCTAGAGCTCATCACAATTGATACTGATGTAATAATCCATGTTGTTTCTTATATATTGTTTTATTTTTTTATATCTGTAATTTGTAAGATAGTTTATAAAAGAAAGGGAAATTTAACGTTATAATATCGTATTTTGGTATCTCTTATCGGTTGAGAAACAATATGCGGCCATTCTGTGACATGTAAGTCTGCGCTTCGACATCTTTTAACGTATGTTATAGTTATGTTGTGTATTTATACTTATCATCACATTTTCATCTAAGCTATATGTTTACATATCTTCTCTTATCTCGTCAACAAAAGCCTTTCAATATTTGTATACTTACCCATCATTTATTTGCTTTCCCCCTCTAAGTTTCAGTTGAACCTCTTCATAATCGCAAGCGACATCAATTTTCCTGTCGTTGGATCGAAGCACAAAAGGATGNGTCTGAAGAAGGGGTCTGTGACCTTGCTTCCCGTTAAGCTTAACGGCTAAGCTTGGACTTCCTGATCCTTGTAGCCACATATTTTATTATGTTTCTTGTCCTTTATCGCGTGTTGTTTGTTACGTTTTCTGACTGTCACAATTTGAACTCCGACCTCTAATTCCCCCTCTAAGTTTCAGTTGAACCTCTTCATAATCGCAAGCGACATCAATTTTCCTGTCGTTGGATCGAAGCACAAAAGGATGGTGTTGAACTACCACACTGTTGATGAACGTACCGTTTCCCTGGTATAACAGATGCACGGTTGAATATTTAATATAAAGGTAATTTTAAAGATAATTTTCATTACTTGCGACTCACCAGATTCTTTGTACCACATCTTCTCCCATGTAAGGGCATAGTTAAGGCTACTTCTCCGTTTCCTATGACGCTAACGGCATAACATTCGTAAGGATGCCCTAAGGCATATACTCTACCACGAAAAGGTGTTGTTATTCTGACAACCGTGGTCATTGCTGTTGCTTCACAATGCATTTCAACTGAAAAATAATAAAGTATAATCACTAAAATTATAGTTAAAAAATTGAAGAATATTTTTATAAAAATTTTATCCTGAAGATAATGGGATATGGAATTATTTATTTAAAACGAGTTTTGAGAAACGTGATAAAATATTATGAATTTTTTTCAGCTTAAAAAAAAATTATCAAATTTACAGAAGAAATATAATAAATTAGTAAAATTATTTAATTCCTTAAGGTGCAGCGTATGACATGATTTATGTTTTAAAACACGCATTTATTGTTTTTATTGTTTGTATAAACAATAAAAAACAATAAATGCGTGTAAAAATTTCGATTTCTGGAGTTTAAAAACTGTAAAATTATATATTTTTTTAAAAATAAAACTTTTACAATTTTAAAAATTGAAGCGAGTTATTTAGTTTAAAAAAATTAAAATTTTAATATTTTACGAGTTTCGTATGAGGAGTGAAGATGACAAATTCCACTTAATACATTAAATATATTTTTTTAAGATTCTGTCTTCGTACTTTTAAATCACGAATTCTGCATTATCTTAAAAGCGTATGCATTTGTATAAATAAAATTAATTTAATTTCTGTATGTGTGTGTTAACGCATACAGAATAAAGAAATTAGACTTATTAGGTCCAAAAGTATTAATAAAAAATTACATTATATTACTATACAATAAAAATATTTAAAATTAGAAACTCAATATAGAGAAATTTTTGTTAATTAAAATAAAAATTTCAAATAGAAGTATAGTAATTAAAGAAAATGAAAGAATCGAAAAGAAACTAACATGCAATGCAGGTTTAATTTTCTCACATCAGTAATTTTTTTTCAATAAACTGCTACTGTATAATTGCAGATTTAACACAGAGCGGTACAGGTGTAACGAATGAAGTCTGTTATTAAAACTCCAGCTACTGATAATTACGCATTACAGCTTATTGTTATTACTACATTTTTTTTTTATATTTTCGAGATTTTAATTTACGATTGTAATTGAAGAATTATAAATTATTATTCAATTTGCATAAAATTTACTCATTTACAATTATCCTGTAGAAAGAATTCCTCTCGATTCAATCGAGAGAAAATCGTTTAACTTTTCTATGATCATTATATATATTTTTTTCCCTTTTTTGGATGTTATCATTTTTCTTAAAGAATGCTGTAATTTTGTTGAGTAGTTCTGATACTATTGAGCTATAAATTAGACCGTTGGTTACTTGAGAATGCAATATACGAACCTTGAAAAGATTGCGTAAATCTAACAGAAAAGCCAACCCCTAGAAGAAAGGAGTAACAAACATTATCATTTTAAGGAATTCCTTTCGTGTACAACAATCATATTTTATGGTTTGTCGACCAAGAAATTCTTCGATTTCCAATCTCTAGAAAGCATTCAACTAGAAATGAAATTATTTCCTAAAAAACAAAAATTTCATTTTGTTTTAGGATAATAAAAATGATTTTTCGATGATACAACAATAACAATGTTAAAATATCGATGTAAAGGATTTCGTTAATGATAGAAACAATTACTTTTTTTCCTTTTCCAAAAAATTTCAGAATTTCAAAAAAATAAAAAAAAATAAATAAATATAATACATTTAATTTTTTAAAGATATTTTAAAGTTGGATTTAAAGCCGATTTACACGTTTAATATTGTAGAAAAATGTTGACACTTTCACAACATTAAAAAAAATCCTATTGTTATTTTCCACAACGTATAAAAATGGAAATAAACACCTGGTAACAAGGTATTGAAAATCAATAAGATTGAAAATCTGGATTGAAAAACATGACCTACAACTTGAAGGGATTTAAAGAAAGTTTTGTGTAGATGTGATTGACCTGTTCAAAATGAATTTTTCTTTATGATAAACGAATGCGATTTTCTTTTGAAAAAGTTTTTGAAGTCTGAAGAAGGGGTCTGTGACCTTGCTTCCCGTTAAGCTTAACGGCTAAGCTTGGACTTCCTGATCCTTGTAGCCACACATTTTATTATGTTTCTTGTCCTTTATCGCGTGTTGTTTGTTACGTTTTCTGACTGTCACAATTTGAACTCCGACCTCTAAATAGCAAGAGTTTGTTTCTTGTCCCTTTAGGGTTTTATTTTGAACAATGAAGGTCGAAAACTAAGTTTGCCCTAGAGAACTTTTGTTCTTTTTCGTATCGTATTCACTACTTTATTTTTTATGTTCAAGTCATTTCTTGCGACTAAAACTTTTATAATATCGTAAAATTGTTTTCTATCTAATTTTCAATTTTATTTATCTATATATATAAAATTGCTTGTTATTATATATAAAATAAAAGCATTAAAATCAATCATTTCGTCTTGATGGGAATATAAATACATTAAAATTTTTAATAAGCCGTGCCTTAATATACGAATATTATAATTGTTTTTATAGGGTTAAGCCCACCCTTCTAATAGTGAATACATAGAAATTGATTATAATTATAAAAATTTTATAATGTAAGCTTTTATTCTTAATGGAAGAGTCTGTAAAACTTATTATTAGTTTTTTTATATATAAATAAGAATTAATACTGCTTTATATTCAACCTTTCATTAAAGAATAGTTAATGTGAATATATATCTACATTTATTTATTTATTACAGATATTTCGTTTCATTCCGACGATCACAAATTACAATTTTCTCTAACCAACCGAAAAATTACGATGTTAAAAAATCGATAAATTTTTATTTAAATTTTTTAAAAATGAAATAAATTAATAGATAGCAGCTTGTTTTTTAAATTTTATTTTATTTTCAAAGATTATTAATTATTTTTGTTTTGTTTATATTTATTTATTTTAAGAGTTTTTTTTTTTGTCTCTACTTTTTGAAGGAGTTCTTATCTGTTTCGCTCGATTCTTATAAATATCTACAGTTATTTATAGAGTATACAGGAGTTTTTTCAATATCTTTGTTGGAAAAATAAAGAAATAGCAATTATAAAGGTTCTTCTTGAGATAAAACCACTGGTTCAATCTGTCCTGTTTTTTTCTTTATTTTTTACTTTTGTTTAACTGGCACAAAAAAGGAAAGATTGGCAACTTATATCTTCATCAAATGGAAGGATGGACAACAAACGTGATAGGAAGAACTACATTGTGTTACCAATTCCCCAAAGACTTAAAAATACGCTGTAATCTTTGATTTTATAGATTAAAAAAGTAGTTGAATATACTTTAATTTATTTCAAAATTGGGTATTTCATACATTTCGAAATTAAGAATAAATCAACGTTTTAAATTAAACATGCTTTAATTAGGGGAGATCGGGGCAAGATCGGCATGTTAAGCTTTACTTAAATTTTGTGTAATATATACTGCTGTAAACTGAAAAAAAAACTTTGCATATTGTCTATTGGAATGTTACCTTACTATAGAACTGGTTAAAATCAGTTTGGAAATAAAAATAATTAAAATAATTACAACTTTACAAGAAGAGAGAAATTGACGAAGTTGCCCCGGGTATAGGGGCAAGATCGGCAACTTCTCTCTTTTTGTAAAGTTGTAATTATTTTAATTATTTTTATTAAAGTTGCCCCTGGTATAGGGGCAACAGTAATGGGGCAAGATAGGCACGTATATAAAATTATGTTATTAACAATGTATAAGTTGGAATTCACTATTAAAACAAAGAAATACAAATCCAACACCCATTTAATATTATTACAACGAAATGCAAGTTCAAAGACATATATACATGAATAACAAATGCAAACATGTTTTCATTTATCATCTGTTTGATTTTTATCCTTTGCTTCTAATGTGGCTTTATGTTGCCGATCTTACCCCGCTAGTCATGATTTCGAAACATTAAGTACAACCCTGAGAACAGAATGCCAAGCCACGATCTGGCCACGTGAATAAGTTGAAGTTACATCCTTCTAACAGGAAAAGTAACTTTCGTTATCATGGAATTATAACAAAACCTGCCAATTCAATATAAATGGAAAAAAAATATTATATGGAATTCAACGAAAATGAAAATTTGCTTGATAATTCAACTACGCTTGTTGGAGAACAATAAAAACACTACACTCAACAAGCCACCAATAAAACTCAACTGCATAACCTATAACCAAAGTCTCCTTTTAATTTGTTTTTTAAAAAAAGCGCTTGACAAACTTGCCCCGCATGCCGAAGTTGCCCCGATCTCCCCTATATTATTATTAATATTCAGCAAATAATTTACTTTATTAAACCTGTTAAAGAATACATTAAAAATAATTTAATTATATACATCTATTTATTATTTATAAGAATTATAACTTAAAATTTAATAAATAAATTACAATTCTATATAAATTATACCTTTATATACAATTATTTATACGTTTAATAAAGGCGAGGTCTCAGTAAACTTATAAAATTATAAAATATATTCTGTAATTTTGTTTATAAATTAAAAGAGATTTTAAAAGTATTATTTTAAATTTGATTAAAACAATACTTAGATTATTATCTACAGAAATTATGCTTTATTATATAAAATTATTCGCTATTAAGGCGTGGTTTTCTTAAATCCTTCCTTGTATTTAATAAAAAAAAATACTAAACAAAATAATTATTCACAATTATTATTTAATTTAAACTATGAATTACAAATTTAAAAAAAATAATTTTCAGTCCATAAAAGATAATAGTTTACAGAAAAATAAGATGAAAAGAAAGCAAGAATTAAATTGTGATGTTATTGCTCGTCCTATAATTAAAGCTGACAACTTGATTATCTTACAAACTTGAACTAAATTTGAAGTGAAAGTTATAAAGAATGAAAGTTAATGTACAGTACCTTCGGATAAATTGTTTGTGTGATTACCGAAGGAAGTAAAATAAAAAATAAAAATTCTTCCAATTTTTAAATGGTATTTTCTGAAGATAGAAAAATACTATAACAATGCGGTAATTATTTAAATAAATAATATTTTTAAAAAAAGAAGAAGAAAAACATGATTAATATTTGCATAAATTAGAGCATAGAACTAAAATATTTATTAAATTAAATATAATCACGCAATTGATTAATCGCGTAATTTACTCATAATTAATTTTAATTTTTCTATAATTTAAACATTATGTGATTGCATAAATTATTTGAATGTAGTTAGATAGAGTCGAATACTATAAATTATTTTAGAATATATTTAATATTTAGATTCTCTATAATAAAATAAAAAATAAAAAAAAAATTAAGAAGTCTACAAGTAGGTATGTGAGTAAGGAAGGATATAATATCGTAGAGAAGTAAATCGATAATACGGAATAGATAGTTTCTATTCAGTTATTCTTATTATTTACGAGTTAGATATTTTAAAATTTAAAGAAATCTAACAGTTTTCCATCTATAAATCTTAAAAATTCTAGAGATTTACCATCTATGCATGGACCTTTCTCATAAAAGCTCCTTTCAGTAGAAGATGAAGTAGATGGTTCGGGCAATGAATAAGTATCTTCGGGACTGAGTAAGCATAAAGATCTTTCTTCATCAAATTCAAAAGCTCTGCATCTAAAATCTGTATGATTTAAACACGAATCCTGACATAGTTCTCTAGTTGATGCAGTCTTCTCCAAATGAATATGATGATGAATCAAAGTACGACCTTTCTGTTGATAAAATAAACATTTTGGTGGTTCTATACATTAAAAAAAAAAACAAAAATAATTTTAAAATTGTGTTTATTTATTTATAGAATTTAACATATTAAAATTAATATTTAATTAAAATTTTCCGCAATTATTAATTAACCGTAAAAATTAGTTTTTGTTCTCAACATGTTCAAGAAGATTTTTAAATAAATAAAAATTAATTAATATTTATAAACACAATAAGAAAAATTTTACTATTTATAAAATTGATAAATTCATGAATTATTTAATTATTTAAATCAATTTATAATAATCACATTTTGGCATAAATTAGCATTAATTAGCATATGTAAATAATGTAAAGAAAACTCTTAATAATTTTAAATTGTGTATTTTAAAGGGGAATATTTTCGAGTCGGAAATGATTTCCTCTGCGGCTAACTTATCTTCTGTCGACTTTCTGCATGCAAAATTTCGTACAAATTACCAAATCGATGCAAACCTTCTTAATATATCTTCAATCTTCTTATACATGTTAAACACGATTCATCGGAAGCTGATAAATGCAACCAATTACTAATATTACTTATAACTTCCTTTTTTTTATTATTTTAATTTCTCAAAGTTATAAATGAGTATTTTATTATTGGAATATCAAGTAAGTAATTTAAGAAAATTATTATTATTTTTTTATATTATAATTATTATTCATAAGATACAATATATCAAGTGCTAAGTAAAAATTATTAAAATAATCCTACTTAATAGTTCAATAATATAAGAACTTATTAAAGTTTATTATTTGTAAATTTATTAATATTAAAAATCGGATTATGAAAATTAATTTTATTTTATTCTATTTTTACTAAATTTATTTTTGAATATTTTTGTTCATTAACTATTTTTAGTTTGCTGTTTATAGATGTGTTTAATTAATTTCGTTTCAACGTTAAAGTATAGTAAATTAATTAAATAAATAATGTAATTCAATTTTGGAAACAATTCTAATTAAATACATTTTGTCGATAATTCAATTTCAATAATGGAATTTTGTTTCCACAACATACTTAATTGAATTATTTCAAAATTCTAAATTAATTCACGTTTAGCAAATTAAAAAAAATTATAAAAAAATAAACAATTAAAACAGAATATAATTTATAGTTGATTACAAAATAATTGAACTTAATTCTTTAATTAGTTTTTCTTGACAAAAATTTCACTTATTTTAATTTCTTCTAGAGAAATTAATTAAAGAAATAATTAAAATTAATCTTATTATTATCATTATTTTTTATTTTTGCATAAATTAATATTTTTTTAAAATTACATTTTATTTATTTATTTAATTTTTTAAGT